AATCTATTGTGACTCTGTCAGATGATTCGTATAAAGCAAGAACAGAGGAGAGTTGTCTATCCTGTTGAGATTATCATCTCAGTTTGCCCCTCACTGGGTTACCGTCCGTGTTGGAGGTGGGCTGTGCCACTTCTTCCAAATCAATCTGTTGTCTGAAACAGTTGCTATCTTTCCCTGTAAAAGCCAGTTTCTCGTGAAGATCCGTCTCTTGACGGCTATCCTTTCTGGTCTGACCTTCGTTGTTGATATCACCTCCCGCCATCTGGATCGAATCTCTGTTTCAGCCATTCCCAGTAGTAGAACCCACATTTCTTCTCTTGCCACCTTGGTACCTTCAATAGTCTTGGTACATCTCCTTTTCCAAATTACCCATAGGGCCAGCTTCCTGAGCAGGTGAAACCAGACTTCTTTGCCGCCCTTGAGATTGTTAGTATTGTTGGATAGGAGCAGGATGTTCAGGGGGGTTGTGGGCGGGGGGGGTGATGAGAAGAGGAGGGACCATAGATTGTGCACCTTGTTCCATATCCATGCTGCTTCCGTGCAGTACAGGAGGCAGTGGGGTATATCTTCCGGGCTGTTGGCTGTGCATAGCCTGCATAGTTCAGAGCTGTCAGGGTCCGTATGTTTCCTCCTCTTGTGGAGCCATTGATTGACCGGCAGCGATGTGTGCGCTAAGAGCCATTGCATGCTTCGAATCCTAACCGGTCTGATGGACAGGTACTTCGTCAATGGGATGGAAATGGGGTCTGTGGGGTCCAGATTCAGGATCTCCCTCCACTTTCCTTTGAGTCTGGGGTCCGGATCTGTGGTTTGTAGACCCAACTCATACCCGAATTTGACATCATATTCAAATATCGTTCTTGTTCTCCCGGATTTGCCCTGCTGAGAACCTAGATATTCAAATATCGTTCTTGTTCTCCCGGATTTGCCCTGCTGAGAACCTAGCGACGATCCAGGGTGGAAAAAGGTGTGTGGCAGGTAAAACACATCTGGGTAGAAGACCAAGGACGATGGGTCACCGAACAGGAACTGCGAAATGTCCTAAAAGGCTGTCACTCCCTCGCTGAGAACCTAGTGACGATCCAGAAGAGTATTCCATCACAATGGCTCTCCCTCCTAAGGGAGGACTTTTCGTGGAAAGCTGGGGATTGGGGCATACTCATCTCCCGAACCCAGCCTACCAGAGCATATCGATTCGTCTCTCGAACCAACCCACTCAGCTACCTATCTAAGTTCTACTCATACCCCATCGCTAATCACAACCTAGAAGAGTTGGAAATCCAGAACAAAGATCCCCAGTGCGACACACTAGAAACCTTCCGACTGAGAAAAGTTAGGGTCTCAAAGGCCAAACCCTGGAAAATCTTCCAACCTAACCTAAGCATTTGCGACCTCGAATTTGACCCGAAACAGTTATTGTGAGTTTGATCTCTCTTCTGTCTAATATTTGCCTTTCACTGCTGCATGAATGTGAATCATTGTGAATCATTGTTTCAATGCAGCGTGCACCTGCGACTTCTGGTCTATAGGAAATCAGACGGGTTCAATCAATTTTCTCACTTTAAAAGTGGCACTGCATTTCACAGAGTGGAAAGTTCCAGCCTTCTGACTTAAAAAGGCCCTCTGCATTTCAAGGGGGCCGATGCCTTGTGTGGGTATGGAGAAAGGTCTCAGGTGGGAAAGGGAGGGATGTGCTGAAATATACCCATGCCTGGGCGCCAACCAACCTTGGAAAGAGAAGGAAAGGAAACATAAACAAAAAGTCATTTGGGACATCCGTTAAAATTGAAGAGATATGGAGAAGATAAGCACGGCCACAGCGAAAGGATGACACACATAATTGAGAAATGATCCAAACTAAAAAACAAGGGAGGGGGGCCGGCGGCCTAGCTCAGTTGGTAGCGCACCTAAGTGTTTGGCATTCAGGAGGTCGTGGGTCGATTCCCCACATCCATTTGATTCCCCGTGGCCTCCTGAGGCACACTTTGAAAAAACCAGCTGAGATAAGCGGGTGGGGGCCCCTGGTTGATCTTGGCAGGAGTGGAGAGACTGTCATATTGCAAAGGGGTTACGATCTTGGGTACTCCCCCCCCCACAAAGTAGAGCGGGATGTAAAACCTGGCGGTACTTGGCCCAACCCTGCGGGGGCTTGGGGAGCTGGGAACCCATAACGTTCAGCGTCCATTCCACTACATCAGATTCCCTGGGTAGCCAGTGTGAGGCTGTCTCGATATTGATTCAGAAGAGAATACCTGTGGACTAAGAACCGACAAGACTGATCAAAAGGAAGCCTGTGTGTGTAGGAGCCTACATGTCAAAGGCCAGTCCCGAATTGACTAAGGGAAGTCTACACTCAGTAGGGGCTTTCCAGTAAAGGGCAGAGATGGCCCCAGCAGGGCCAACACTTTATAACTGTTTGTAAAGCCTGTAGAGTCAGTCACTTGGGCGCGATGAGAAACCTGTGAAGAGACGCTGGACCCGGGTCTGCCAGGAAAGGGCAGACCTGGCCCCAGCACAGTATAACTATTTGTAAAGTCTGTAAAGTCAGTAACTTGGGCTGTAGGAGAAACTCTGTGAAGGGACACTGGACCCGGTTTCCAGCAGGTGCAGCTCCCCACCAATGGAGCGGAGCCAACCATAAGCGGGGACAGTGGAAGGGGTGTCTGCTCTTATCAGCATCCCCCCCCGCACCCATCGTTGATGTTTTCCCTATAAAAAAAAACTTACTGCGCTTCTAACGGTTCTGAACCGCCCAAACGTTTTGATATGGTGTTCTTGTTGGCAGGACTTTCAAGGATTCTGAGGCATGGAAGGTGGTTCCCTCCCAGGGATCTGCTGCAAGTAACACAGTGGATCACAGTAGGGGGAATAGCAGAGTGCGAGGAGACGGTAACGAGGAGGGGCTTGTGGAAGGACCGGTTGTACTGGTTAATTGCAAGCGACCTGAGCGAAAGCTGGAGGTCTCCATCTGGGCACTTTGCAGTACAACAAACTCTCTCCTGAAGAGGTTGCAAGGCAAAGCAACCTGTGCTGAACAGGTTCCTTCTCTGCAGAGACAGGTCAGATTGCTAGCATCATCAGCCCAGTGAATGCAGAGTTTAACTGGCTTTTAGAGCTGTACAATTCTTGCTCGCATGTGATCACTCCTTCCGAGATTGTTTGTGGCTTGCCACAAGTTATATGCTTCTCGTTTCCCAGCGTCAAGTCTCTGTTTCTGACTCTTGGTCTGCCGACTCCCTTGCTTTGAACTGTTTTCTCAGGTTCGTGCATGTGTTTTTGTCTTGTGGGGCTGGTTTGGGGTCTTGATTTAAAAGAGATCGAATGTTATTCTTTTCTTTTTCCCTGTTTGATGGGCGTGAGGGAACGGATTGAATCCAGACGGTATTTTGGACTAAAGGAGTCATGATTAATGCATGTGTGTGGACGGAGACGAGATAACGAGTGGGGAAGAAGCTGGAACCTGGAGGAAGATACTTCGATACCAGGTGTCCTGCAATTGGGAGAATGTGGGAGTATTAGGAATGGTTAGCATATGGCAGCTCAGTTAGCATGAGCTGATTCTCAGCCTTGAGTCCTGTCCGAGCAGAAGTAGGATAGGTTCGGGAGTGTTGATGCCTGAACCGGATCGATGGAAGACAGCAAGGCGCCACAGGAGTAATGCTATGTTGTCATTCGTTGGAATTCCATGTTTGAACGAGTGAAAAAATCTGTGGTACATCCTTGCAGGTGCAAAATTTGAGGGATATGATTAGGGAGGAGAGGGAGCAACACGATGCAGAAATGATGCATGCGGTTGCTGACAAGGCCAATGCGGAAGACACAATCGTACTTCTTCAATCAAAAGGTAGGGAGTATATGTGAATATGCTTCTGATAATGTCTCCAGTTATTTGATGCTGTAATTCGAGTGAAAAAAGGCTACATAAACCATCCGTTAGGTTTGAGAAAGGACAAAACTAGCCTTGTCAGAGTGCATCTGCATGCGCTGCTGGACATGTAGATGCTAAGGTATTCTGGCAGCGCTACTTTTGTTGTTTCCTAAACCCAACCGGGCTGGCAATATCTCCCACCTAAAGCAATTACAGGTTGGCTTGGAGAATCGAAGGGCATACCATCCATGCTCAGGTCATAAGAATGATCATCGAGCAACTGATAGCCCTTTGTAAGAATCAGATCTTTGTATGTTTGATTTCTTTGTAGTGGATGATGGTATGCTGGCCTATTGCCCAGGTTTTCCAGGTCAACGTTTGGTGACTTTACTACCTTTTTCCATCTGTTAGATTCTGTTTGCCAAAATAGGCTGAGTGTGGGCTACCCTTGTACTAGTGATTGGCATAGTAGACAGCTCCTTCAGTAGTGACTTAGAGGGAAGGCTTGGCAGGCTCTAAAGAAAACTCTGGTTTTTTTTTTCCCCCCAAATCCCGAAGTCTAGGCTAGGAAACAGAAAAAGGTCGAGAATGTTACAAAGTAGGCAACAGGCACTGAGGGAGTTATGCAACTGGGAACAGCGGTGGAAGTGGGGGTATAGCCCTCTCAGATCGGAAGCAATCAATATATCATCGTTCAGTGTTCATTCCTCATTGGGTAATCATGCCTCCAAGCGTGAAAGCCGATTGTTCTGAGAACCGCAAATCAATCGCTCCCTCCAGGCATCGAACCTGCAACCTGCTGATTGAAAATCAGAACACCTACCACAAGGCAAAGTGAGGTGGGCAGAAACTGTGGCTCGAAGCAGCTGCGCCAGCATGGTTAGTACATCATATACCACTATGACCCGGTGGACCCAGACACATCAACCAAGTAGCCCTCTTCAAGCCGTAGCTCAAGGGGTTTTTGATGCCGAACACCCAGGTTTGGCTAGCTTGGTTCTGAGGCTATAGCCATGCGTGTAGGTGGTTGTATTGATGAATTTCTCAACTTCGACTGCCTGTGAGTCAATGAAGCAACCCCCACTCTGCTAGCTCAAACTGTAGGTGGTAACTTCCAGGTGCTGGCCAAGAACTTGTTTCTGTGAGTGCTTTTTTTTTTTTTTTTTTTTTTTTTTTTTTTTAAACGCCCCCACCGGTGTTAGTGTGAGTGCTTGTTTCCGAAGTCTATAAGGTTCCGGGTGATTACTGCTATTCTAGGACTTGACAAAGAGATAGATCGCTGAAAATTGGGCAGAGTGGATGGGATGTCAGTGCCAGCAGGATAGCGAAACAGAGATATGACGACGGCGATAACAGCGACTACACGATTCCATCCGAACATACTGGGGCCATTACCACCCACCTTCGGCTAGAGCCGGGAACCGTCTCCAGCGTCCCTCCATTTCCAAGGACAGGAATCAAAAGTTTTGAATAACGCAAAGAACGTTTTCCAAGTGCTACTGAAAGAGTTCAGTAAAGGATTTGATAAGAGGTCGATAATTCCTTATGAACAAAAGCACACCAAATTGTCGTTTTCTGAAAAACACACACCCATGTACCGCCTTCCATATCCTCTTTTTTTTTACCCCCTCCTGGCAAGACTTACCAGAACAGAGCCACCGTCTCACCCTCTCTGGCAAAACTTAACAAACAGAACCACTGTCTCACTTGCCGTTGTACCCTAACACATTCCTAGTGGTATTCCATCCACCAGAAAGCCCTGCTACCCTCCAGTCACCTATCTCCCATCAGGATGGAAAACGACTGTCTTCATCCGAATAGCTGTATTTGATGCATTTTTCAGTCCCGACACGACCATAATTACCGGGTGTTCTATTCGGGTGAAGACGGTAGGCAATTGGCAACCAAACAAGGGGGGAACAAAGCTTTTCAGTATTCTCACAAACCAACCTTGCAGTATTTCAACCTGCCAACCTATTTCTCTTCCGTGAACCTACCTACCTACTTTTCCTTGCAACCACCTTGGCTCCCGAATACCAGCGGTGAGCTGGCAACATTTACTGATCGGCACCTGTGTTGGTTAACATATGCTGGATACAGTGGAGGAGCTACAGGTGCAGCAACAGCTGGCAGTGGCTGAGATTATGCCATCCTCTGCCTGCCATCAGATTGACCCGGCTGAGACTGCAGAAATGCAGATGAAGGTGGAGGCGGCCGAGAAGGAGGTTGCAGAATTGAGGCGTCGACTTCATGCTCTCGTTGGCAGAGATGACCCTTACGATGTCTTGTCTTGTGATGAGCGGTCGGATATTTCGGATCTGGAGAGACGGTTGCTTGACATGGAGAGGGAAAATCGAGGACTGAGGTCTCGCATTTCATTATTGGAAGAAAAGGTATGTGATGCAAGCATATGACTCTGACATCTTGGTTTTGGGAAAAGAAGGAAAATCTGGAAAAGACACTGAAGACAGTACGTTGTTGTATTGCATTGCTATACGGACAGCTTTTGGCTGATGCTCGTTTTGACCTTTGGGTACGTGTTGTGTTGCATTGCAGTATGGGCAACTTTTTTTTTTTTTTTCTATTTTCCTTTTTCGTTTCAACCTTCGGAATCAAATATCAATTCTGGTATTAAAAAAAGGTTACGAAAACTTGATTTTGAACTTATTTGATGTGCTTGAATATGTCTCATACAATCAGCTCTTTTTGTTTTTTTTATTATTAAATCAGCTCTTTTAAGTCAGTCGTAGACTAAGGCCATGATAAGGTGTAAGTCCCCGGTTCAAATCTGACAAAGGGATGGTCTAGATTCCTATATCCAGATGGGTTCAGTGTCCAGTCTGTCATAACGATGATGCAAAGGATCTATGGTGGTTTCCTTTTCTGAGACTTTTGGATGTTTCCTTTTCCATCTGGTTAGTGATGTTGACTTCACATACGAGTGCTGAATCACCAAGGTGCAAAATGTCTACCCAGGTGGGCCCCAGGCCCACCCCATGTTTATCGTATTGTGGAGTACTGCCCGCACACAAGTGTCCAATCTATCGTGTATTGCAAAGTACTGCAGGCACAACTGATCCACGTTGCGGCCGCACAAAGGATCTATTCCGAATTCCGCCTCTACTTTTTCTTTGATGTTTTCAGTTTCATAGCTCATTGCCCTCTGGAAATCATTGTATGACTGCTCTTCCTGGGAGTATCAGAATTAAATGTTGAGATGCAAGAGCTCATTGAAGACCAATTATGAGTAATGAAAGCAGAATGACACCAATTCAAGAAAACCATTGAAGACCAATCCGAGAGCACACCAATTCAAGAAAACACTGCACACTGGAAATTCTTGATAATGAAAGCCCTCATCGATCCTCTCAACAATCAATACAAAAACCATTGAAGAGCCCTAGGTGTGATGCATCTGCCTACACTGTCTTAAACACACAAGCGCACAACCTCTGGTTCTCTCTTCACTCTAGAAGCCGCTGAAGTGTCTGACCGGACACCAGGTAACTATCTGCCTGTCTCACGGCTGCTCTCCTTCCCTGACTTTTCCTGACCACTCACCACCTTCTCCACTGCACGGCGCTGCACTCACCTGCTATGCCAGTGCATGTGCAAGCAGCTAGCACTAGGCTGCTCTTCCCTTCTCAGGTGCTGGCTGCAAGCGCTCTCTCAGCACTGCCGCATGATACTGCCTGCTGCCCAATATGTGATCTGCCTTGGGCTGCTCCATTTTGCTAATTTTCTGGCCGAGGTCTGGGCCTCAGGTAGGCAGTCTGTAGCCTGACGAGGCCTTCCCTGACTTTTCCCGACCACTCACCACCTTCTCCACTGCACGGCGCTCCGCTCACCAGCTATGCCTGTGCATGTGCAAGCAGCTAACGCTAGGCTGCTCTTCCCTTCTCAGGCGCTGGCTGCAAGCGCTCTCTCAGCACTGCCGCATGATACTGCCTGCTGCCCAATTGGCGATCTCCATTTTGCTAATTCTCCGGCTGAGGTCTGGGTCTCCGGTAGGCAGTCTGTATCCTGACGGGGCCTACCGGGTAATTACCCGACCAGGCTCCAAAAAGGGCCCAACTGTTTCTCAAGCTCCAGCCTTCGCTTAGGGCCAACCTGGACTCGCTTGTGCAGCCCGCCAAGTCTTGGAGTGTCGCATCTGGTAGGGCTGGGTCATGGTCCCTCGCCTGAACATAAAGCTTGTTGTAGGCTCGTTGACTATGTGCGTAAAATGATACTAAAATGCCTCAACAGTCAATGGTTTGTTGGTTGGAAAAGAATGTCTTGAGCCGTCCAGCGGGACCGCCTTATGGCAAGAATCGAGTATCTTTAAGGAGTAGCCAATTGAGAGAGGCCTCATGACTTACTCTCGAGCTACTCGCGTCATGATGCACCGTCCTATGAACTGCAGTATTCCCAGAGAACAAAACAGCGAAAAAAAAACAAAACAAAAAAAAAAACAAAAAACAAAAAAAAAAACCAGCGGAATAGCACCGAAAGGACGGTAACAGACATAAAGAATGTGAATGTATATTCCAACATAGCTGAAATACTAGAAAAATTGCTTAATAACCTACATAACAAGAGCACGTTCATTGCCTTTGGCCCAGACTATGCATTAGGACAGCTGTAGAGTGTGACACCCTCTTCCAAGGTCTGAAGTGCTCTTTTTCTTCTTATCTTTTCTGTTCTTGCTTGACACATTTTTGGTGCTGACTTGTTGGCTTACTGGGGCAGTCATCGCAAGCAAAGGCATTGTCGGAAGCCTGGGCGTGCAAGAAGGCAGTTGATGCTGAGATTGAAGCTTTCCTGAAGTCGAGAGGTGTTCAAATGGCAGTCTTGGAGGAAAAGGGTTTGGAAGTGATGATGAGCCAAGCAGCAGCGGGTGGTCAAGTTAAGGGCAATGTGAATGGATGCAATCCATCAAATGGGCAACACAATTTTGGTGGTCGGCAAGGATGGAGGGAAGCTGTTGGACTCCCAGGAGGAAGAGAGAGGACTAGGTTCGATCCACGCAAGTCCTTGGAATGGAAAGCTGATGTAGGTCATGATGCGACTGGTGGGGAGAACACCGTAGATCCCAGTGCGCATGGTCAAACTACGGGCTGCGAAGAGGCATGCATGACTGAATTGTGTGAAGAGAGAAAGTGTGGTGGCTTCCCAAGCACTGGTGAAGCTGAAGCTTCCTGCCCTGAGGTAGTCAAGAAGCATTGTGGTTCCCTTGCGTCCTCGAGAGGCAGAGATGAGGCACTGGGTCATCAAGATGAGGAAGACGAGTTCTCTCTTGATGTGCTGTCTGATATAAGGCGAGCTGGGAGAAGTAGCAGTCCAGGCATTTCCAGCGAGGTGCTACTTGCTCAGCACCTTGTTCCAGACGGGAAAACCCATACAGGTCAGGAGAAAGACCCTGGTGCGGGAGCTCGCTTCCCTACTCCCTTGAAGGACCTAGGGAAAGAGATGTTTCCATCCACTGATGCAAAAATGACTGGTGGTACGGATTTGGGACCCTCTTGTCTGGTCAGGAGAGCAGCATCAGTAACAACACGTACGTTCGAAGTCAAACAGGAGGGGGCTGCTTTCGCAAAAGCTTCACCAAGTAAAATGAAGAAGGAAAGTGGGGATAAAAAGTGGGATGTGGAGGATATCCCAGAGTGTAGTGAGGATACCACACTTTTGGAGAAGTCAGGATTTGCCAGTGATCAAACTGAAGGGATGAGTTCACCAACAACGCATCAGTTGCGAGTCATCAAGGCTTTCCTGGCTAATGATATATCCAGAGATGAATTCCGTGCTGCTACCGCTGCTGCTGCTGCGAAAGCCAGCAGAAAGTGCCAAGTTCGTTCGACCACTGTAACTCCAGCAAAAGGTCTGGATGCACCATCTTGTGGGGGTCGGTATGCCGAACCATGTGCAGAAACCAGCCCTCAGATGGATACTGTGGACATGTTCCCCGGATATGGATCAGATGACGTTCGCCTGTCTGGCATGACACCCATGCAATATGGAGAAGCTCGTGAGGAGAATGGAAATAACGAAGAGGAAGGCACAAGTTCACCTAGACATGGTTTCATCTTCTCATCGGAGACTGATGAAGATGTTGAGGTGTTTAATGCGGGGGTGACAGATGGAAAATTGATAGTCAATTCTAGTTCGCTACCCGTGGAGGGTGAGTGTGGGCCCCAAGCGGTTCTGCCAGGCGCATTCGGTTCTGCGCAGTGCTCTCCTGGTTCTGACAGGCAGGGAGAAACAGGGGACAAGGAGGGTGACCGTAAGGGAAATGGAGGTATGCCATTGTTGGTGGCAGATTGGAGTCTACGGCGCAGACAAGCAATGGAGGAGAAAATAGATTCAGTCCTCAGCAGGGGTGTTGGCGGAGGGGTCAGGGAAGGTTTTCCCTCTAAGCCTGCCGTTCACCAGCACCAGCAGCAGGGAGCTTGCAGTGAAATCCCCTCAGCTCGGACTATTGGTACTAGAAGTGAGGGTCCCAGATTTGCCAATGAGCGTCACAAACATGCACATTCAGCTGTGGTTAGTGCTCGGCATACCGTTCGGGAGGATAGCAATAGAACAGCTAGGGCAGCTGCTTTGAGGGGAGGGGATACCTCATCTGATCTAACTAGCTCTCGTAGGTCGTTGCTGTCCTCTGCTGGAACACCGGGGCATCCTCCTTCAAGGCAGCGCCTGGCACTGCTGACAGGGGAGGGCAGAAAGCTGAAGGAGGCAGATGGAACTGGTGGTGGTCCTTCAGTGACTCTATCGAGCCCTGCGAAGAGGACTAGCGGAAAGGAACCTGAAGAACTCTCTTCTCGGCGGGAGAAGTCAACATTGGAAAGAAAGGAGGAAATGGCTGAAGGGTCAGGCAAATCTGGAAGGAAGAAAAGAACTAATGAGGAGGTCAGGCGTGGCAAAGACAGCAGCCATGGGGATGAAGAGGAGGATGCTGAGTTCAGGGATGGGATGCTCATGCGAGCAAGGATGGCCAGTCATGGAAAGGTCGAACTATGGAGGGAGGATAGCAATGAGAATGGCTTGATTCGTTCCCATCCAGATCATAGAGAGAGTGGAGGCAGTACTGTGGGAGGGGATTATCGGGTCTTTGATGGTGTTGATCGAAAGAACAAGATGAAGATGCAAATAGTGTCCACAGTTGAGATCCGAAAGGGAGGAAAGAACAGGGAGAAAGGGAGGAGTAGCAGCAAGGGATCAAAGAGCAGGACGCGGAGGGAGAGGTTTTTCGAAGTGTCAACTACACCTGAAGATACCGAGGATGAATTGGGAAGAGTGGTTGGCAAACTTGCTGAGCTGGAGGCAAGAGCGGCTCGAGCTGCAGGCATGCTAGAGAAAGGAGTTACAATTCCTCATGGCAGAGCCAGGAAGGGTTCTGTTGACCTCCTGCATAACGGGGCAGAAAGAGATAACGAGTGCAATCTGGAGGGAGCAGTAGAACGCGATACGGTTCATCACGGAAGAAAGGCACAAGCAGCAGTTGCAGATGGCGTTGGAGCTGGCTTTGGAGTCACCGCCCAGAATCCCCAAGAAAGGGTTGGCTCCACTCCAATGACGCTTGCTGTTCAACATGAGGAAGAGAGAAGGGGACAAGGTGATACTGCACACCAGGACAGCCAAGCAGGAAGAGATGGAGGGTTTGGTTGCAAGAGAGAACTGACTAGAGAACGGGGTTGCACCACGGGTGAGTTGACCTGACTGATATGATTCTGATCCTTAGAGGCCCTCCCTAGATTTCAGAAAAGTGGAATTACTTCTGTTTGCTACTATTGCTCTCCTGACTGTGGAGTAGGGTTGTGTGACTGCCTCCACTTCTCTGGTCTACTCCCACTCTCCCTCCCTTGCTGGGCCATGCGATTGACATTTGGGCACATTATCGTGGCTTTGCTTTTGCCGAAGCAAAGCCAAGAATGGTAACCAGCAGAAACCTGCCAGACGGATGCATTTGGGCGGTCGCTGTTGAACATCCACTCATTAACCACTCTAAGAGATGGGAAAGCATTCCCATTCTCCATCCTGGCATCTTTATATCCAGCAATGGAGATATTTCGGTATTCATTGCTTGGATACGGATGCCTGCAGTGGTTAACGCAGGTTTGACTTCGGTTTTGTGCTGTTTCACTGTATTGCCACCATGAATTGGACAAAGCTGTGGTGAGGAGGATTAGCTTTTATCCCCACCACGCTTCGGGTTTGAAGCAGTGCAAGGTTTATTTGAATGTTTGACGAGGCAAGAGCCGGCGGGGAGGCATAGTGAACTTGGAAACTATGCTCGGTGAATGTGGGTAGATGGCTGAACTGAAGATGGATTCTATCTCATTCAAAGACAAGACTGTTGGCGAGCAATGGTTGAAGATTGGAACTAGACCAACCTGCAGCGAAGTGCTCTTGCCTGCTAAGCAGCAGTGATAGTGACATGGGTTCGCTTTTCATTTGATGGGACGGTAGAGAAGTGTTGGCCATTCTTCTTTCGCCGTTCTCGGAAGGCCATTATTTTTGTCCCTTAGTTTACCACCTCACACATTTCCCTTTTTCCCTTGTCGCCTTTTTGTGAGTTTTGAAGTTTTCTGCTTTCATGTTGACAGTTGTTGGCTGGGCGGTTGTAGGTTATCCGGAATTTCCAAAGTTGTGTAGTTTCACTTCCTCCATAGCCCATCCATCCCTCTTCCCCTGACCCTGATTGCTGCGCTCGAAAGCGCTTCAGAAGTGAGTGTGTCAAGTGCATGCAAGTCATGCTGAAAACACCACTTCCTCACAGAACGGTGGGTCATTATAGATTTCCAGAACGGTTCTGCACAGATTGCAGCATGGCGGGCCGTGCAACCCCTTGCCGCAACGTTGCGATGCACGGGTATAGATTTCCAATCCATACAACTCACGGCTTTCATCGATCCGATGGCCGAATGGATTGAAATTTAGGTTACCTGTGCAGGGTTTTGCATTTCTATTTTCTCCGCAACCCACCCATCCTATTTTCGGCCGCCCCTCCATTCACTTCGTTCTTGAGCTGTTCACAAGTGACTGTTTCAAGGGCATGCAAGCCATGCTGAAATCATCGCTTCCGAACAGAAAACAAGAAACGAGTTCTCAACAGATTCTAGCCATGGTGTGCCGATCAGTTCCTTGCTGCAATGTTTCTACACTCTTGGGGAATGCAGTTGTAGATTGCGATCCATGCATATCATGCCTTTTTTTTTACATGATGCAATATGGATTGCAATTTATACATTGAGTAGTATCTGTTCACTTTAGCAGCTGCCTCGTGTTGTCTTAGCTCTGATACAGAGGGGTTTCTGAAGTGTTATACTTTACAAGCATCTTCTTCTTCTTCTTCCTCTCTCTCTCTCTCTCTCTCTCTCTCTCTCTCTCTCTCTCTCTCTCTCTTTTCTCTCTCTCGTGGGATGCTCTTGCCTCTGCATGCATGCATGTGTGGGTGCCTGTTGATGCATATGGGCTCACATGCATGCATCTATGTGTGGGTGCGTCTGCTGGGGGGCTGGGTGCATGGTGGAGTGGGTTTGACTGTTTGATGTTTTTCTAACTTGAGTTGATTGTCAAGTTTCAAATCCGTCCATAGACCATCAGACGACCTTGTATCTTCCGGGTTGCTCATGGAAGACATCCCACACTCTTCATATGCCAACCACGTTTCTCAGTATCAACAGCTTATTGTGATACCAAGTGTGGAGCTAGCATTTGTGTAGCGCTCTCAGTGCATTCACTGTTTTCTTCAACTTTCCAACAACAATCGCATTGTAAGTAAATCTGTTTGCTTTATTTTGCTTGGTGGAGCATATTCTTGTTGTTGCTGATCTCTTGCTGATCCCTTGCTTGGTCATGGAAGCACACATTGGCCGGAATGTGGTCATTGTTGGTAGAGTGACTGTATGATTTTCTGGTCCTTGAGCCATTGCTGCAGAAATTGGTTGCTACTGTCTCCTTGCGGCTTACCTCGGCATGACGGAACGACAGACAGGTCAGTTGGAGTGCAATGATGCAAGCAGACAGTTGAATGACACAGGTTGGAGTGCATGCCTGCAAGCAGATAGTGCTTCATCTCATTGCCGGAGACTTCCTTTGTTCGTGACACAGGCAAAATCGGAGCTTCCTAGAATTCTAGCAGTCTGGGATATGTAGTGTTACTCTGAGAAAAGTTGTGACTTAGGGAGGACATTACATGGACGGATTTGACATCGATGCTTTGTGTCGCAACCATGAATGGGTTAACCCATTGTCTTCGAAGTTCTAAAATGAGAACATATTCCACTGGTTGGATGCGCGTGAGAAGTTTTCAATGTGAGAGTTGGTTGGCAGTGGGTTGTGGTTAGCTAGATAAAGCTGAGCGGTTTTCAGTGGTGTGTGCAACATTGCCTGAATAACGTGTGGGAAGAAGTGTGATGGTGCAGGCTCAGTCAAACAGCAGCAGGATTGCGGACTGTGTATCGATAAAGGCACATATCATTTTCCTGACAGAGAAAATGTAGAGAATGCCAAATGACTGTAATGACACCATCCGTGCCTGCTCAATTCAAAGCCTTGCAAATCCTCTTTCCATTGGTAGATCTATGAAGTCATTCTTCCCGCCTTCCCACCCGCTACCCCCTAGTAGTAGTCGCACCTGCCAATGGTGATGCCAGTCCACATTAGGTATGCAGAGCAGAAACTGTCTGTGGATTGTGAGATCATCACCATGGTTTTTTCTACAGGATGTATTCCCATGTTGACCTGATACGAAAATAGCACGCGTGTCTGTTTGGGTGTACAGGACTTCCGCAATAGCGTTGCGGCGTGCTGCATTGAAAAGTGCACTGTTAGGAACCCAAACGTAGGGCCTTGTCCCTGATCAGAACAAACGAAGTAGAGAGGAAGCGTTTCAGAGAGCAGAACAACAGCAAACATGCAAAACTCACAGAAACAAAAGAACAAAAGAAAAAAATTCAAAAAATACAAGCATCAAAAACAGGGGCCAATTGGCCTTAGCTGGTATAACCCTGAACTTTTGAAATACGGACCTAAGTTTTTTTTTTTTTTTTTTTTTTGACCTAAGTTTGAACTCCGCTGGTAGAAGAGGAGTTACCTAGGGTGGGTCGGTTCGATGATGGCTGTCAGGTTTTTTTTTTTTTTTTTCAAAACAACAAGAGCAAAAAAAATAAGACTGATGGTGATAGATTGTTTTCATGGGACTTGCACCGACTCATGAGGAGTCTGCACCCTCGACACTCTGTGCAATCCCCATATGGGTTCTTTGGGTAATGGACCCTCTGGCCCTGGTTGAAAGCAGGCTGCCTGTCGGCAAGGCTACACGCAGAACATAGCAGCAGCCAACGATTCAGTGAAGAGACAACTGCACAACACGGAGGATAAATTCACGGAACGACACCACAAGTGGACGGGCAGCAAGACAGCAACGCACCGAAGCACAAGGCGACAATGCCAAAGCAGCCAAACCACACGGTACACAAGCAAAGCGCATGGGAAGACAAGGCACGCGGATGTGCGCAAGGCAAAAGAGCAGAGAAGCACAAGGCAACGCCAATAATGCAGTCGAACTACATGGCAAACACACCAGCTGCAAAGAACGACATGAGAAGCAAGCAGGATGGACAGCAACGCAGTGGTGGAGCACAGGAAAGGCAGTCCACACATCCAACACGGAGCAAAGCCGTATATCACCTACTCACAGCACAAGTGAACCCCACAGGTTGTTGGTTCCCACCGAACGCCTGTCATCCCCCTAGACTAAATGCACCAGACAGACATCATGAACAGACCAGCCCCCTAATTGTGTCACAGCCACTCCAAACACTCTGCCGCTGAGTGTTTAGCACATCTTAGAGGTGCTCGCTTAGACACGCGGAAAGTACTTAGAAAAAAACGGGAAAAAAACTGTAAGTAAGAAACACAAAAAAAAAAAAAAATCTGGAAGAAAGACATGACAAAACGAAGAAAGGCATGCACGAAACTGATTGTGTGTGTGTGTGTGTGTGTGTGTGTGTGTGTGTGTGTGTGTGTGTGTGTGTGTGTGTGCGTGTGTGTGTGTGCGTGTGTGTGTGTGTGTGTGTGTTAGACTCACCACGACAACCCCCTGTCCACGCAGATAAATACTTCAAAAACTGAAACAGCTGTCCCTTGCACCAAGTGATATATTGTCACCTACCTATCGACTAAAAGAGCACACCTTAATAGCAAACAAGAAAAAAAAGCAGGCAACATGACAGCCCTCACTGTGCGGTTCTTTCTTCGCTTCCCTTACTATGGATTTTTTCATGGTTTGCCTTTTATTTCTTCTGTTAGCTCCCCCTTCACTGTGCCTCTCACAGACAAGCCTGCCACGTTGATGTAGTTGAGCACGAGCTGCCCTCATCCCGGTGCGCCATTACAGCACACTTGCACACTATGACGCGGGTGGCGTGGAATGCGTACACTCCTATTTGCTTTTCAGCACACCTGCACCTTATATTTTGTGCTGTTCTCTCAGTGGTGCTCATTCATATGCATTTAGTGGTTCAGCATGAGGGGGGGGAGATAAAGGAGAAGGGGAAGGTGCGGTAGATGCTGGGAGGAATAAACAGAACACTGAAAGGATGAACTTCACAGGGTTTTAAGTACTCAGTACTTCTCACAAGCAGAGCCGACTGCTATAGAATGGCACAAGAGGCCATTCAGTGTCTGGGTTGCAGAGAAAAATGAGTTGAGGAGCTGGTGTTGCCTATGGTGTGTGTGTGTGTGTGTCTGCGTGTGCGAGAGAGAGAGAGAGAGAGAGAGAGAGAGAGAGAGAGAGAGAGAGAGAGAGAGAGAGAGAGAGAGAGAGAGAGAGAGAGAGAGAG